CCTGTAATCCTAGCACTCTGGGAGTCCAAGGTGGGAAGACTGCTTGAGTTCAGGAGTTTGAGACCAACCTGAGCAAGAATGAGACTCTGTCTCTAAAAACAAAAACAAAAACAAAACACACACACAGAGTTATCTGGAGGGCTGGCCTGCAGAGAGACAGCGAGAGGGAGAAAGCTTTCTCTGATGCCAGTATTGTGGATCTCAAATAAGTACCCGTAGGTCCTGTCAAGGAAGATTGCAGATCAACCCAAGAAAGGACTCTAACAGCCACGATGAACTCTATCACCCAGAGCCACTCAGTAACAGAGCAAACTCCTGAAATGTAAGAGAATCCATCTATGGAAGAAATCCCTGCAAGTGCAGGGCCGAGGAGGGGTGTCTGCACAGGGAGTGCCGTGCTGGACGGCAGGAGGGAGGCTGGACAGTGCTCAACTCTTCCGTTCTGGTTCTGTGGCTCTGTGACTCTGGCTAAGGAAGCGAGGCCAGCATGAGCCAGTGACCACAGCCCTGCCTCTTGGCTGGACAGGACACTTCCGTGAGCTGCTGTGTCCTCATGAAGTCAGTGCGCATGGCAACCCCCAGCTGCCTGCATTTCCAGATACCCCAGATGGTTTCTTACCACCCCTCCGTCTTGCCTGTGTGCTCGCTCTCTGACCCTGGCCCTGCCCCCAGAAAATCTGCCTTGACTTCTCCCTCGTTTTGGAGGGGTGCCTATCTCCACCAGTCACCCGCCACCGTTCCACGCACTTATTGCACGTATCTGTACCCCAGGCTGGGGACAGTCCCTGGTTCTCCCATTTTATAGACAGATTGCTACGTAGAACAACAGCTGGCCTGTGGCAAGGGTACTTTAATGGTATCGGTTGAATAACCCACCTACCTGTCCCTAAGCTCACGATGCAGGCCACTGTGCCACCGTCACATTCTTCATATCCCTGTATCTGTTCACACAGTGAGAAAAAAGAGGTGTCCAGACCCACCTTACCTTGGAACAGATTTCGTGGAGACTTGTGGCGATGGCTTTTGCTGGTGTGTCACATCGAAATACATGACATTTCAAAATTCTTGTATCTTTGTCTCTTGCTACATAAGCAAAATCCCTGTGCAAACGAAATTTATCAGTCCATTAAAAAAAGGAACGGTTTACCAACACAGACTCTAGTTACGAACATTAACTGAGTTAGCAGCCAGCGTGTCAGTGGTAAAAAGTGTACGCGGTGATTAAAAATAAAATGAAAATGAAATCTCAACAGCTACCTAAGACAAGGCAGTTTCACGGATAGAAGTTCATTCCTTTCCCCTGTCTGCTGAACTCTCGGAATCACTAACAACTCTTAAGGATAACTGAATTTCACAGAATCTTCCAGCTAGTGTAACAAAAATGATGGCTATAAAACAGGCTTGAGAAGCACATGAATTGTATGAGTGATATAAAAAAGCTAAACAATGGGCTCTGATGTGTACGTGTGTGCAGACAGGGGGCCAGACCACAGCAGGCTGAGGAAGCTGATGGGCAGCTGGGGGACCAGAAATACTGCAGGCGGACATCCTCCCAACGCATTCAACTCTGTGAAACCCCCCAGACCACAGACTGCAGGGTGACGGCAGCAGCATCCCTTTATATGACGGGGACTCAGACGCCTAGGTGACTATGCCCCTGATGCTCAACTTCAGCCTTCATCCAACTGATAAGCAGAACACTGACCGTGTCATTATTTGGCTTCAAAAAAACCATGAGTTACCCACATTTCTCACCGTTATCAGTAGAGGACAGTGGTTCAAAGATGAAAGTGTTCATTAAAAAAAAAAAAGCCCAGCACTATCCTTCCGGTAGTGGACCCCAGTGACTTATTTGTGTATGATGCTAAGCCAGGATGCTGTCTGCAGATATAATTGTAGATGAATTTATTGCTGAATTATTTCTCTTAATGTAAGAATTGGCAGTGTTTTCACAGACTATGACAAATACTTTCCCCAAGACATCCTTGGCTTCCTTGGGAAGGTGCAGGGGTCTTCCACTGCAGGCAACTGGCCATCTTCACTCTGACCAGAAAAAACATGGGGGGCTTAGGTGAGGGAGGCTGCTCCCCGCCAGCCACACCTTGCCATGCCCCAGGTCGGGGGCACTTTCGCCTGGTGGATACTTTAATCTCTGCCCCTCCAACCTTCTGCTTCTTCCTGTTCCAGCTCAGCTGGCATCCTTCCTGCTGGGACCTGTGCACTAGCACCATGTGTGCATGGGCCTGCAGCTCTCGTCCCTATTTCCTGCTGGGAGAGTTGGCCCTTAGGCCTGGGTGGGCTCCTAATAGGACAGGGACTGAGGGCTTGGTCCAGGCTCTGAGCGGGGAGCCCGGCTTGCTCCCCACTGGGTTGCCACGCCCCACCACTCCAGTCTCAGCCACCGAGGCAACAGGCTACTTCAGAAAGAAACAAAAAGGTGGCCCTGCTTTTGGAGCTCACGTGCCCAGGCTGCCCTGTTTCTGGTCCTCCTCTATCTAGTTACTGTCCTTCCCTAGATGGGGCATTAACTGACACAACATCTCCCCACACATGACTCTTTTCCCTAAAGCATTCCTGCTCAGCTGCCATTTTCCTGAGGCCCAATCTCTCTGTCCCACAACTCTGTCTGGATTTTAAAAGTTCCAAAATTTGGCTCAGTGCCCGTAGCAGTGCCAGCCACATGCACCAAGGGTGGTGGGTTCGAACCCAGCCCGGGTCAGCTAAACAACTGCAATAAAAAAACAGTCAGGTGTTATGGTGGGCGCCTGTAGTCCCAGTTACTTGGGAGGCTGAGGCAAGAGAATCACTTGAGCCCAAGAGTTGGAGGCTGAGGTTGCAGTGAGCTGTGACACCAGGGCACTCTACTGAGGGTGACACAGAGAGTCTCAAAAAAAAAAAAAGTTCCAATATTTGTTGTGCCAACTTTCTAGCATTGCTCCCCCGAATAAAGGCGGCTCCACTCTGCTCCAGAAAAGGTGAGTTTCCATGTCTGCCTGCTGTGACATCTGCCCTCACCTGGTGTCCAGTGGCTCTCCCTGCCCTGTCCAGCACACCCCCACCTGGTGTCCAGTGGCCTTCCCTTCACTGTCCAGCACACCCCCACCTGGTGTCCAGTGGCTCTCCCTGCACTGTCTAGCACACCCGTATCTGCTATGCACAGCCTTGGTCTAAGGCCTGCCTGGACCTCTAGCCTCCAAGAAAGTGCTTATGTCTAATTAGTTTTAAAATTCCATGCCAGAAAGGATGAGAGCTCGTTACACCCCAGCCTTTATAGTTACTGTATAGGTCTCAACTGTGTCTCGTCCTCTAAGACTGCGGTTCCCAACCCGAGGGCAGCACTCTGCAACCAGTCGGTGGCCTGTTAGGAATCGGGATGCATTGCATCACCCCCTGAGCTCCACCTCTTGCCCCATCCCACTCCTAGTCCAAGGAAAAAATGTTTTCCATGAAACCGGTTCCTGGTGCCAAAAAGGGTCCAGGACCACTGCAAGATGGTTAGCAGCCCAAAGGGCCATGGATTGGGATCCAGGGAACCCAAATTCAAGTTTCATTCCTGGTTCCCCTTAGCATAGAATTTAACCTCCTCTAAGTGAAAGGTTGAGAAACATGATTTCTAAGGTCACTTTCTGGCTCTGATGTTCTCTGAGAAGAGCTTCCAAGACCCAGCATCTTTTCCCCGGCTGCCGGCAGGCTCACAAGCGTGATGGCCCCCAGGCTCCCAACAGGGAGGGCGAAACAGGCCCGGGTCACTCAGCAGCTCATTCCCATCAAATGTCAGCCCTGTGCCCTCTGTTCTTGCATAGGTGACCTCTTAAGCATAATTCTTTAAAAGTTACTGTTCTTACTCTCCATTTTCTCCTGGCTCAGAGGAAGGCGATTAATGCCTTTTTAAAGGCAACCACGTGGAACCCTCCCCAAAGGAGAAACTGAGCAGCCTCGGGCTTTTTGGGGGAGGGAGTCTCACAAGTTTTTTTTACACCCTAATCTTTCCATTTCCCTCCAGGTGCAGGCCAACAGATTAGGGGCACAGATGTGTCAGTGTGTGGCCCAGGACGAGTCCAGGCACCAGCCCTCCAGAGGTGTCATCTGCTTCCCAGGATGATGCAGCTTTTCTCCCCTCCGCACCATGGGCGGGCAGGGGAGCTAAAGACCCTGAGCCACCCTGAGACAGCTCAACAGGCGATCCAGGGAGATCTTTCAGGGCAGGCATGTGGACACGGTGAGCAACCGCTTCTGGGCACAGTGATTCCACAGCCAGTCTAATTCCAGTGTTACTCAGGATGCAATGCTATCATCACTTACCTGATGGTTTTAAAAGCTTGGCTTTTCAGCACCTGACTTCTGAAAAAGGCTGCTGTGGTAGTCTGATATGAGGTAGCTTGTGATAGCATAATAACCCCCCTGCCCCAAATTTCAGAAACTTATGAGTATATTACTTCCCATGTCAAAAGGGACTTTGCGGATGGGTTAAATGAAGGATCTGAAGATGGAGAAACGCCACTGGCTTATGTGGATGGGCTGAATGAAATCACAGGGTTAGGAGGGGGCTCCAAGGAATATGGGCAGCTTGGAGAAGGCAGAAAAAGGAATTTCCCCTAGAGCACTGATTTTCAATTGGTGTGCTGGAAGAGGATCTTAGGTGACTCAGGAAAATTTTTGAAGATCATTAAATTATTTACAAATGAAGTTCGAAGCACAGTAAGTATATTCTTTTGTTTACTCTTTTTTGATCAACATAATTTACGTGTGCCAGGGAAGTTTTCTACAGGTTCAAGTGTACTGTGAGATAAAAAAGGTTGGAAACCACTGTCCTGGAGTCTCTAGAAGGAACAGAACCCTGCCAATCTGATTAGCCTCTGAATCCCCAGAACTCGGGAGAAAACAGATCTGTGCTACTCTAAGCCACCAAGTTGGTGGTAATTTGTTACGGCAACAATAGGAACTAATATAGCTGCCATTTGGCATTATATTCTAACAAAATTATAATACAGTTTTAAAGACTATTTTTTTTAAAGCATTCAATTCACTTCCACAAATACCTGAGCCCCTACTATGTACCAGACACCAGAGATGCAAGCACAGGCGAGTCCAGCCCAAGGTGCCCACTGTCTGATGATACAGATGGGCGGTCAAGTTGGGGCTGCATTTTTTTTGAGACAGAGTAATCTTACTCTGTTACCCAGGTTAGAGTGCTGTGGCCTCAGCCTAACTCACAGCAACCTCAAACTCCCGGGTTCCTGCCTCAGCCACTTGAGTAGCTGGGTCTATAGGTGCTCGCTACACTACCTCATAATTTTTTTATATTTTTAGTAGAGACAGGCTGGTCTTGATCTCCTGAACTCTTAAACTGCTGGGGGCCACCGCTGTGGTGCCAGGCAGGGAGGAAGAGCACGGAGCAGGCTCCGTTGGTGCCTGTGCTGCTGGGAGGGAGGATCAAGAACAACCCTGGGTCCCTGGGGAGGGAGGTTTGGAGAGGGAGCCGCGGAGCTCCAGGGTGGAAGGTGAAGTGTCAGCTGCTCCAGGTGGTGAGGCTCTGAGCAGGTGGACACTGGTCCCTGTGTTCAGATGTGAGGTCTGGGCAGGAAACAGGGACTTGGGAGGCAGCTGAAGCCAGGCCACATGTAACAGAGTAGGATTACTCTGACTCAGGAAAAAAAAAATGCAGCTCAAACATCACTGCCCAGATATCTGTATCAGCAGGAGCGTGAAAAAAAGACAAAACAAAGCCTGGCACCAGCTGAGGTGGAAAGACCGTGGGAAGGTGGAGGAGGAGTATTGGGAAGAGGGCAGGGAAGCCCAGGGGAGACTGGTTCCAGAGAGGCCAAAGGAAGGCTGGTCCAGGAGAGAGGTTTCCAGGGCCAAGAGGCTGAGCAGAAGGCAGCAGGCCACGGGTCTGGGCCACAGGGAAGCTTGGGTGACTTCTGCCGGCCTCCTGGGCTCTTTCCCTGGAGAGGGGCGGTCAGAACCCCAACTGCAGAGCCTGAGGACGACAGGAGTTAAAAGGACAGAGTTCACCCCTCTCTCCCATTTTTATACTTCTTATTCTGGAACCTTCCAAACACAAACACAGAGAAGATAGTACATGAACGCCACATCCTATGGACTGGCTTCTGCACCAATCAGAAGGGTGCCGACCCGACCCACTCTTTACACAGGTGGGTTTCTTCCCCAGTCAGTGTTATGAGGGATGCTGAAATCATTATGGCCTCATGTAAGATGGATTTAATATTTCCTGGAGATTTTCCCATATTCTGAGGGGGCAAGAAAGTGCTTTGTAGTAAACACACCTCCACAGTCAGGGTATTGCTGATAGACTGTGAAAACCTCCACAGGCACGAGCAGCCCTGGACTGCGAGTGTGACCTCGGGAGGAGAGACGGCACCAGGTGCCATGTGGCCCACAGCTGGCTCTGACACTGTGCGGGCCGGTGTGGCTGGGCCACTGCAGAGACCCTTCAGGAGTCTCTGCATGGGGAGCCCACAATGGCTCTCTCCCCTCCAAGCCAAAAGTGGCAGCCCTGCTGGCTTCCGCGGTGCTGGGAGAGTCCTGTCTCGGGGACTGGCTTCTCCACTGTCCCGCTGGCTGGGTGCCTCCCAGCCACATGACCTCCGGGGCCTCAGCGTCTGGTCTGCAAAACCAGGCACCTGGCCCCAAGGACCCTTGAGGGTCAGAGCCTGGCTCCTGGTTTCCCAGCTCAGTCCTCTACGGATCTGAGATGTTCTGAAGCTCAGCAGCAAGAACTATCCCCGTCCCGTGCTCCCGCTAACTCCAGTGACAATGCTGGACAACGAACCACCAGCTAAAACAGATCCGTCTGCTCCCCACACACCTACGGAGTCCGGCCCGCTGACTTCCTGCCGGCACAGGAACCATTACATTTTCTTTCCTAAACTGGGCAGTAGAAGGTTTATAGCTGTGGTTCTTGTGTCTTTTCCTTAAACCGCACCAGAAGCTAATCCCAGGACTCTCCTACCTTCTCCCACTTGTTACCGAGCACTTGTGCTTCCAACTCCCGTCCTTCTGCTTTGTTCTCCCAGTATTATTCCCCCAGGACCAGCCTCGAGTTCTGCCAGTGCTGTCTTATCTGACAGCCTCAAACTTCTTAATGGCGCAGAAATAGGGTCAAAGATTGCTTTTAGTATTCTCAGTTGTACAGCAATCCACCAGCCTGCAGGGGCTTCATCCATTTTCATGGAATGAATGAATGAATGAATGATTCTCTATTCAAGTGCTTTCTAAAAAAAGCCAAGACAAAACTGCTCACTCTTTCCCCACGACTCTCCCTAAAACTCCCTTGGGGTAAATGGAATTTGCTTATGTGTCTCTCTCTCC